GTCTAAGCTTCTGGTTCTCTCTTTTGATTTTATATTGATGTGGCTGGACTGATTTTGTCTTCAGGAGTTCCGCAGTGGCCCACTTCCAATGTGGGTCAGAAGTTTTCAGACTTTCTCCTTGGGTCTGGAATCTTCTAAGAATGATTTTGGCCTCAGGAATTTGGGTGTTGGACTGACCTGAGATCCTGGCCGTGGCCATGCCACGCAGGGATGCAAAGGCAGATGGGGTGGGAATAAGCCCCAAGATTTCCCAGGGAGTGGATTGAGTAGCTGGATTGTACTGGATGCAAAGCATCAGGGAGAGGCAAGGTAAGCCTCGGAGCCCCAGAAAGAGGCTGTCAGCCCCAAAAGAGGCTGTCAGGTGTTGCAGGACCAGGGAAGCAGAGAGAGGTGAGGGCGGGTCCGGGTCCAGAGGCAGTACTCCTGGGGCCCAAGGAAGGCACCAAGCCCATCCGGGTGAAAAGGGTCAGGAAGCAGCACTGGCTCCCCAGGTGTCTGAGGCCCCAAGACTAGGAATGGCACAGGGCCCAAGCTTGGAGTAGAGAACAGCAGGGGAGATGGAAGGATGAGCGCGGCTGGGGGAGTCAAGGCGCGGAAGGCTGCGCAGTAGTCAAGGCGCGGAAGGCTGCGCAGTAGACTTACCCCAAGAGAGGCCTGAGAGCAGGAGTAAGAAGTGGCTTTTTAAAGAAATAAGTGATTTAGTCAAGTGGAAACAACAACTCTAGAAAAGATACAGAGTACCTTTCTCCAAAGGATGGTGTAAAAGAACCAGAGGACACCTCCTTTTTCAGGTGACACGACCCATGTATGCCCTTATAACATAAAGGATGCAATTCACTGTGGTAATTTCTGAAGTGGGAACAAGTACTTGGAGAGAGGAAGCCCCCAGACAGCTATAGAGGAAGCACACTAATAGACTGAGGCAGGAAGTGGTTGTGGAAAGAGCTGTAAGTCTGGGCCACAGGAAGAGGGAACAGCACTGACCACCAAGGCAACCAGTCTGCAATGCCTACACTGGCATGAAGGACCAAGGTTCAGGGCAAAGTGTTTATTTTAAATAACCTGCCTTCACTTAGAAGCAGTGTACACTGAGTGTTCGTAGTTCCTATTTAACAAGACCTCCTCCACTCCCTTCCATCTTTCACCTCTACTAGCAACAACTGACAACCTCGCAAACACATCTAAGTCGTGTCTTAAAGTTTATTATGACAAAATCTGTGCATGAGAGATGGGAATACACACATTTCTGTAATAGTTAAAAAGAAGAAAGACTGATGTTTAAAAAATAATCTGGACACCACACACACTTAAAAATCAAATTACTTCAAGCAATCATTTTGGGCGTTAGATGTTTATTCAAAAAATTCTGGAATGTTGGAAAAGTCTTCTGAAATTGTCTATAGTGCCTATAGCAAATATATTTTTTAAAGATATCCACAGTGATGGTATAATGGTTATTAGTTCTAAGCAAGGTTAAATAACCTTTACACTATTGGTATTTTGTATAAGATAATTTTAGGGAGTGAGGGTCCTATACATTGTGAGATATTGGTTGGGCAACAGGTACTAAATGCCAGTAGCATCTCTCCTACCTGGAATTGTAACAATAAATAAATTACTTCAAACACTGCCAAATGTTCCCTAGAAGGCAAATTGACCCCTAGTTTGGTAACCTTACCCTATGCTAAGTTGTTTAGAAATGAAGCCTAGTAGATCTTTTATCAACTTAACCTAGTGCATTCTGGCCAGCTAGGATGACCTGCCTCCACCTCCCGAGGGCTAGGATAAAGGCGTGTGCCCACACGCCCAACTCTCCCATCTTATTTTTAAGAACTCCCCTTGACTGGAATTGTAGGCTCTAGAATACATGTTTTGCTGCTTTCTCTCATAGGTCTTCTTCCCCTTCGGGACAACATCATTCCCCCATATCTTCTAGACACCACTCATCGTCCTCACAGTCGGGATCATCTATTCAGAGACATTCCCCTTCTCCTCGCCGGAAAAGAACTCCTTCACCGTCCTACCAGCGGACATTAACTCCATCTTTACGGCGTTCTGTTTCTCCTTATCCTTCACATTGCTTATCTTCTCCTCAGAGAAAGCAGAGCCCTCCAAGACATCGTTCTCCCATGCGAGAGAAAGGGAGACACGATCATGAAAGAACTTCACAGTCTCATGATCGGCGGCATGAGAGGAGGGAAGGTATGCACTACATTTTAGCTTTTTTTATTCTTTTTTTTTTTTAAAAGAGGCTATGCTGGGCATGGTGGCACCTGCCTTTAGTCTCAGCACTCAGGACGCAGAGGCAGGCGGATCTCTGTGAGTTCAAGGCCAGCCTGGTCTACATAGCGAGTTCCAGGTCAGCTGGGGCTATTGGGAGACCCTGCCTCAAAAAGACCAAAAAAAAAAAAAAAAGAGGTCTTGTGGGTTGGAGAGACGGCTCAGTGGTTAAGAGCACTGGCTGCTCTTGCAGAGGACCCTAGTTTCATTCCCAGTACCCACATGGCAGCTCACAATTGTCCATAACTCTAATTCCAGGTAATCCAGACACCCTCTTCTGTCCTCTTTGGGCATTGCATGACACGGGTGCATTTACACACATGCAGGTAAAACACTCATATACATAAAATAAAAAATAAATAGGTACTTTAATGTAGACTTTCCTTCTCAGAAAATTGGGCATCCATATTGTTAAATAAGGGATGGAGGAGGGTTGTGTTATAGTAAATCTTGATATAAGGGACAGAGGAGGGTTGTGTTATAGTAAATCTTCTGTAATACACACAGATTAGGGCAATAGCAAATGCTTAAACACACAGAGCTGTAAAGTATTAAGTATGCACAAGTGGGCACTTATAGCTATGCTAAGTTGGTGCTTTCTTATAAGATGTTTTACTGAATACTTTTGACCAACTGGTTGTTAAAGTGTCTCTTTCAATTTCTTTTTTTAATTTTTTCTTTTTTTAAATTTTATGTGTATGTGTGTATTGCCTGCATGTAGGTAAGTGCACCTGTGTCATGCAGTGCCCGGCGGTGGAGGTCAGAAGAGGCTGTTGGATCCCCTGGGATTGGAGTTACAGACAGTTGTTAGCTGCCATGTAGATGCTGGGATTCAGACTTGGGTCTTGTTAGCTGCCATGTGATGCTGGGATTTGAACCTGAGTCTTCTGCAAGAACAACCAGTGTTCTTAACCACTGAGCCATCTCTCTAGCCCATCAATTTCTTTTTTAAATTATTTATTTTATGTATATGAGTGTTTTGCCTGCATGTAACTGCTCCTGTGCATGCAGTACCCATGGAGGCCAGAAGAGGGCATCAGATAACCTGGAACCTGAGTGTATTAGTCACTTTTCTGTTGCTGTGATAGAAACACTGACCAAAAGAACTTGTAGAAGAGTTTGTCTGAGCTTACGGTTCCAGGAGAATTACAGTCCATCATGGCAGGGAGGCATGGTGGATGGAGGTGGCTGGAGCAGGAGCAGCAGAAGCTAAGCTCTCACATCATCACGCAGGCACAGGACGCAAGAGGGCAACTGGAGATTTGGCAAGGCTTAAGATCTCCGTAAGCACACCCCCAGTGATGTGCTTCCTCCAGGATAGCCATGCCTTCTAAAACCTCCCAAAACAGTGCCATCATCTGGGGACAAAATGTCCAAACACTTGGAGCCTATGAGGGACATTTTCATTCAGACCACCATACTGAGTTATAGGGGGTTCTTAGCTGCCATGTGGGTGCTGGGAACTGAAGGGGGGTCCTCTAGAAGAGCAGCCAGTGCTCTTAACCACTGAACCATCTCTCTAACCCCTTTCAGTTTCTTAACTTTATTTTTAAAGTCAAGAAGGGAGAGGTGGGTTGGGGATATTGCTCCGTGGTAGAGCATTTGCCTAGCACTTGTGAAACCCTGAGGTTCATTCCTAGCACCACAAGAGCAACCCAAGGAGATAAAAGAAAGGTAAGCAGCAAATTAGGGAGCAGAGTTTAAAAACATTGGAAAGTTTGATAAAGGAGCTAGGGTCGGGGGAAACTAACTTGTGGAATTTCTGGATGGAAGTCTTAATGATGAAGTGAGCAAGTGTCCTGGGTATGGCTCAGTGATAGAGCCCCTGCCATGTTTGAGGTCCTCAGTTTGATCCCCAGCACCTCAATAAAAGAACAAAGCCACCAGTTTTTCTTTCTAGATCTCTGAGAATTAAGTTAATGTTGGATATGCTCTCCCAGTTCTGGCTGAGATGCTATAAAATCACTCTCATTTCTTTCTGTACTTTGTGTGTGTGTGTGTGTGTGTGTGTGCACGCTGTATACATGTGTACATGTTCATGTGTATATATGTGCCTGTGAAGGCCATGGGGATTGGCACCAAGTGTCTTCCTCTGCCATTATCCACCTTTTTGTGCCATCACCAGGGTCTCATTGAACCTGTAGCTTGACAGGTTAGACAACCCCAGTTATCTTCCTGTCTCCCTCTCCCCAACACTAAGATTACATGCACATGCCACCATATCTAATTTTAATTTTATTTTTTATCTATATTGTCTCTTTTTTTTCTGTGAGAAACATGAATTTCTGAAGCTGTATAAATGGAAGTAAAATTGATTTCCAAAATTGTCTTACAGAAACTAGAGGCAAAAGGGATAGAGAAAAGGACACTAGAGAAGAGCGTGAGTATGAACAGGATCTGAGCTCTTCTCGAGACCACAGAGATGAGAGAGAATCCCGGGATGGCCGAGACCGGAGAGATGTGAGAGACCGCAGGGAGCTGCGGGACTGCAGAGACGTCCGGGACTGCCGGGACATGAGGGACTACAGCAGAGACACCAAGGAGAGTCGCGACCCCAGAGATTCCCGGTCAGCTCGGGATGCCCATGACTACAGAGACCGCGAGGGCCGGGGTGTCCATCCGAAGGAGGACACGTACCAGGAAGAGTCCCGGAGTTACAGCAGAAACCACTTGAGAGAAGAAAGTTCCCGTACAGAAATAAGGAGTGATTCTAGAAATGAGTCCCGAAGTGAAATTAGGAGTGACCGGATGGGCAGAAGTAGGGGGAGAGGCCCAGAAATACCTGAAAAGGGTAAGTAAGGGTTTTGACTTGTAGTGAGCTGTATTTTGTATATTCATATAGAAAGCATTAAATCTCTAAGATTTCTCTTCTAAATGCATCATTACTTACATTCATTCTTAGCAATTTGTGAGAGTAATTTGCAATCAGTTAAATTTGTATCTTCCCTATAAACTCTCTATTAGAATTACGAATTTAAGCAGCAAAATGTAAGTGGCGCTCGGTAAGTCATAGCCTCTATACAGATCAGTGGGGAACCCTGTGAACACTGCTACATTAAAACCATAAGGCGATTTTTAATAAACTGGTATGTATGTGATCAAATGGTCTTTCAAGTAGACTTAAAATGGTATATTTTCAAAATTAATGTCAAAATGATTGATTTATATGTTTTCAGTATTTACACTTGCTGCAAATCACATATTGGGATCATTTTTCTTCACCCAATTAACTTTGATGTATTTCTGACTACCTCCAAATTACTGAGGCTTAATTAGCTTTGGCCTCTCTCTTGCCTTTCTCTAACCTCCTCCCAAAAGCTACTAAATTCTCACCTCTTTTATTCCTTCCACTGGTTCGTTGGTTTAATCTCTTGTTGGTATTAATTCACCTTGTAGTGCAGAGCACCACCCTGACCCCCACCTGCTTCCTCATAATTGTCTTGACTTTTGTTTTAGGGGGTGTTTTGTTTGTTTTGGTTTGGTTTTGGACAGGGTCTCTTTATTGCCTAGGCTGGCCTTGAACTTGGGATCTTCCTTGCCTCTGCCTTGCCGATATTAGAAGTCTAGGTATGCACCACCATGCCTGGCTTCTAGACTTTTCTTGGTCCTTTACTTTTTCGTTTCAATTTTAGAAGTTCTTAATTCCACGAAAAACTGTTGGAGTTTTATTTCAGATATATTAAGCTTATCAATTAATACCTTTTCCTATTAAGGTTTTATATGTATTTTAATTTTCTAAAACCCTATTTTGAAGGAATTGGGTACGTACGAAATTAGAGTAAAATGAACAGAAAGCTCTGTGCACTGGCTTTTTGCCAGTGTTAGCATCTTAAGTGTGATACATAGTATCAGAACTAAGACATTAACATTAGTACAGAGCTTACTCAGAATTTACTGGTTCTATTTGCGCATGGGCGTGTGTGTGTGTGTGTGTCTTCCTCTATATCTGGTGTAGTCTTACTGCCTCCGTAATCAAGCTTCTCAGCTGTAACATTAACATTGAAGATTCCCATGTGTACTACTTTGTAGCCACACATCCATCCCCTCCCCTGTCCCTGGCTCCTGCTAACCTCTAACATGTCCTGCATCTCATTTCATTTAGCATAATCTTCTTGGGGTTCATCTAAGTTGTTGCTTGTCTTTTTTTTTTTTTTCCTAACCAAATAGTACATGATGAGGATTTACCACCATTTATTCAACTCTTCACCACTGAGACATTTGGGTACTTTACAGTGTGATGGCTATTAGGAATACAGTCATTGGGAACATTCTTTTTCCCATCCCTTTGTTTTTCTGAGGCTGTGTCACTGGAAGCTTGGGCTGCCTTTATCTCCTGCCCTCCTTCCTTAGCCTTTTAGGTGCTGGGATTATAGACTTCTGCAGCCAGGCCTGCCTCACACATCTTTTAATAGATTTAAAATTTTTCAGATACTACTTCATGTTGTCAAATTACCTTAGTTCTATATTGGAATATTTTCACAAAAAATGTGTATTTAAAGCAGTATTATATATAGCTTTATCTTTCATTTTTTTCATGATTTATGTATCTGTGAGTTAGATATGAAGAAGTGTTTTGTTGTTTGGAGTCTAAGTCATTCTTCTTGCTTTTAGGTTCCCATTTTATGGCATCCTTATAGACAGAAAAAACTGTGGCTTAGCTTACTCTAGTCATAGTCATTAGACAACTTGAGTTTTCTGATCCCTGTAATATTTTTGCAACAGTAATTACCATGTTTTAAAATACCAAAAAATCCTTTTGTAATGTTTGGAAGAAAGATCATGACTGAAAAGCATGCTGGATAAGTACATTTGTTAACTGAGTGAATGTCCCTTGTGTAGGAAGCCGAGGAACAAGAAGTTCTCAGATGGATAGCCATAGCAGTAGCAGCAACTATCATGACAGCTGGGAACCTCGAAGCAGCTATCCCGAAAGAGACAGATATCCCGAGAGAGACTCTCGGGAGCAAGCAAGGGATTCTTCCTTTGAGAGAAGGCACGGAGAAAGAGACCGCCGAGACAACAGAGAAAGAGGTTCGTCAAATAGACTTACTTTGTAGTGACCAACAACTGGGAGGATTGTTCTTTAAATGTCACTTTTTATCATAAAATATAGTTCAGGATCTGTATTTGATAATATATTTGAAGCTATCCAGATAGTCTCTGTTCATATGGAGGCGTGATTATGTAAATAGCTAACTACTACTCTCTATGGCAGCAGAGTTCAAGAACTGGGGATGCTCTGTTGTATGGAGTAGCTTGCAGCTTTAAAGAGTGTAGATTAGTGAGTGTTATCACCACTTAAACCTTTGCAGCTGAGGATCCTGGCTACTCAGTAATTAGCTGTGATCCATAGTTTTATAAGGACTGTCAGATAACTGCTGAGAGAACGAAAGGCAGGGGCAAGAGAGCAGGTAAGTGGGCTGGAGACGAGGGAAGAAGGGGGGATAGTGCTGAGGATTGTCCAGAAAAATGTGGTGTTCATATTTCATCCTGAGAATTCATATTTATGGTGGCAGATTTCATACTCTAGTACATCTTAAATAAAAGTTTTAATCTGTTAGTCTCTTAAAGCACTTTTGGGGGGGCTGGATAGATGACTCAGCAGTTAAGAGCACTGGCTGCTCTTGCAGATGACCCAGGTTCAGTTCCCAGCATCCACATGGCAGTTAACAACTGTCCATAACTCAGGTTCAAGGGATCTGATGCCGCCTTCTAACTTCTGAGGGCATTGCATGACACTGGTGCACTTACATACATGCAGGCAATATGCTCATACACATAAAATAAAAATAGATCACTTTTGAAGCAAAATTACTAGGAGGTGTGTCCTCAGTTTTAGATAGAGCTGGAACTTCTACAAGTCTTATGTTTCTGAAATTGTTTCTTCCCTAGCATTTTAAAATTCTCTTTAATACTTTCATATCCTAGCTCATCTTGTATAAATTTAATAGCACATTTGGTTTTACACTTATGTGTAATTCAGGTGTACATATTAAGCGTTTATAAGATGTAAGAACTTTAATGGTTTACATTTTTTTTTAGTTAATCTTTGAAGTATCCCTATAATTTTCATATTCTTTTAGTTAAATAAGCTACATTTCACTGTTTAAGGGGTTAGATCTGAGAGAAGTTTTCAGTATTCTAGAGAAGAATATTCCAAAGCTGGAATTCTAACTCAGGTATTTAACTATAGAAGTCCAATTATTGGCCAGGCATGGTAGCTTATGCTTTAATCCCAGCACTTGGGCTTTGAAGTATCCCTATAATTTTCATATTCTTTTAGTTAAATAAGCTACATTTCACTGTTTAAGGGGTTAGATCTGAGAGAAGTTTTCAGTATTCTAGAGAAGAATATTCCAAAGCTGGAATTCTAACTCAGGTATTTAACTATAGAAGTCCAATTATTGGCCAGGCATGGTAGCTTATGCTTTAATCCCAGCACTTGGGAGGCAGAGTTGGGCAGAGAGCTCTGTGAGTTCGAGACCACCCTGGTTTACATAGTGAGTTCCAGGCCACCTGGCACTACAAGGAGACCCTATCTTAAAAAAACCAAAAAAAAAAAAAAAAAAATGAAGTCCAGTTATCCAATTATCTTTGTTTTATTTCACTGTAACTATTTTTAGAATATTTTTGTTGATTCTTTGAGACTTTCATACAGTGTAGTTTAATGATACTCAGCCCCCACTCTTCTACCTCCTTCCAGCCCCCATCTCCCCACCCTTTCCAACTTCCTGTCCTGTTTTAAAAAAGTAATGTATTGAATCCAATTTGTGCTGTCATATATTTATGGGTGTGGAGCCATCCACCGGAGTGTGGTCAACTTCCCAGGGATCCCACTCTGGAAGAAAACTTACCCTCCCTTTCCTAGAAACTGTCAACTGTCGGTAGCTCCTCATCTATGGGTGGGCTATGGGGGAGGTCTTTTTTGCCCCTTGCCACTTAAAGCTAGATTGTTGACTGGCTTAATCTTATGCAGGTCTTGGAAACTTCAAAAAACTTTTCTATTTCAATCATACAATTGATATTTATTGAAATAGTTGTAGTGAGCTACACTCAGAAACCAGCCTGAAACTTTTAAGCTGATTTGTTTTTACTGCCTACAAAATAACTGCTTTTAAGCAGAAGGATGAAATTGAGTTTTCATCAAAAACATAATAGGCATCTGGTAGATAAACTGAAAGCAAAGGTACTAACCACTCATACTCTTGATTATGTTGTCATCTGAGCAGAGCTGATGAATTAATTCCACATTAATAAATTAACTGTAGTGACAGGGGCGGGAAAAGTAACATCCTAGAAAAAAATTGATGGTACCTAGAAAAAAATGGGATTTGGATTATTCACAGGTTTCTAAAAACGTCTGTGAATGAGGGTGTCATTTATCAAGGAAATACATGAGAAGCACATCTTCGAAGAACACATTTAAGGGAAAGACGGTAGCAAGGAAGACAGTTTAGGCATGTTACTATAGCATTTTTATATCCTTTTTATTTTAAAATAAAGGGAATCTTCTTTTGGTTGGGAACATAAAGGTTTTATCTACCAAGAAGTTTTATCTACCAAGAAGTGACTATCTTCTGATGTTGCGCGTTCAGAGATTTCAAATACGAGTTGCTGTAAGGTTACAGTATTGAAGTTTTTCAGGTTATTTCATAATTGTGATTTTCGCAATGATCACCAACTCAGAAATTCAGCTGAAACATGGGCATACTACATTCTGGAAATCCAAATTATGATACAGTAGAGCTATTTAAAATAGAAATTCTTTTCAGCAAAAGCGAAAAGATTTGAGAAAAAAACAGACTTTTAGCTCTGATATTCTAATGGAAAATTACCAAAATCGCCTCTGGATCATACTTTCTATGTTTTTTAAGAAGAAGGAGCAGAAAATATTGAATAGGGTTTCATTTTGTTTGAACATGAAAATTAAATGAATTTTGAAACTGGACCTATAACCTCTATGTAGTAAATACAGACAAATCTTACCCTTTTTTACTAGTGATAAGGAAAGGAAATTCAAGTTATTATATTGAACTTAGAAATATTCTAAAATTATCTGCTAAGTTGGTATTAGATGTTCCAGTTTCCAGCCTGTTGAGTATGCTGCAAGCATGATTTATTGTGTAACTAGCAGACATTGGTATATGGTATGAAAATGGTGCCTTTGGTCATAGTTGCTTTAAAGATGTCTATGTCTTTAGGAAAGTTCCTGTCTTTATTACTTTTTTTTTTATCTCTGACTGCTTTCCTGCTCAACCATGTATTCAGCATGTATTCGATTTCTCTGTTTATGTACTTCATGTGTAGAGTGGGAAAAAGTAAAATTCATTAGTTATTATAAATATATCAGTAGTATGAAACTTTACATTTGATTGTTCCAGGGTTTTGAGACATCAGTACCCTTAATTCTAGCTTAGTAGATAGAGATTAATGTTGCAGCTGCATGTTTTGAGGTTTGTTCAAAAGTTTTCTCCCATGATAGCTGCGTTTTAATGTGTTGTGTATAACTTGGGCTGGTTAGAGTGACTTACAGGGATTTTTCTCCTTCAGCTGCTATGTTCCACACCTCCTGCGGCTCCTATCCTTTATCACCAGTGCTCTCCGGGGGCACAGAGAAGATCAGAGGTGAAGGGTAGAGATGGCAGAAAACAGGGTTGAAGCCGTGGTTTGGAGGCAGGATTGGAGCAAGCAGAATAGACCAGAAAGGATCATGGGAGGCTGGGACTTGACAGGGAGCAGAAAACATGGCAGTTAGAGGGCAAATGCAAATTATCCTTAAGTAAGTATTCTTTTAAATGTCCAGGGATGATTGCTATTAAGAGTAAATGTACCTGGTTTTTAATTTGTTGTTGGTATGACCAATATGCTGTACTTAGATACAATTTAAGGGACGCTATGGGTTATCTGCAAAATTAAACTCTGACAAAACTTGATTTTCATTGTAGATCAAAGACCAAGCTCACCAATTCGTCATCAGGGAAGGTCTGACGAGCTTGAGCGTGATGAGAGACGAGAGGAACGAAGAGTAGACAGAGTAGACGAAAGAAGAGAGGAACGGGCTAGAGAGAGAGAGAGGGAACGCGAGCGGGAGAGGGAGCGGGAGAGAGAGAGGGAGCGGGAGCGGGAACGGGATCGTGAAAGAGAAAAAGAGAGAGAGAGGGAGCTAGAAAGAGAGCGTGCCAGAGAGCGCGATAGAGAACGAGAGAAAGAGAGGGATCGGGAGAGAGAGAGGGATCGTGACCACGATAGGGAGAGGGAGAGAGAGAGGGAACGGGATAGAGAAAAGGAGCGGGAGCGGGAGAGAGAGGAAAGGGAGAGGGAGAGGGAGAGAGAACGGGAGAGAGAGAGAGAACGAGAACGAGAGCGGGAGCGAGAAAGGGCAAGAGAACGAGATAAAGAACGGGAACGTCAGAGAGAGTGGGAAGAGAGGGGGCGAGAGGACCGCCGAGAGAAGCGAGAAGACATCCGAGAAGAGCGGAACCCCAGAGATGGCCACGAGGAGAGGAAATCCAAGTGAGAGCAGGCTTTGGGGCCTTGAGACCCGCCAGGAATGCAGAAGTCTCACTGCTTTTCTTCTTTAGATGTCCCAGTATTTTAGATGGCTGTGCGTGTGTGTGTGTGTGTGTGTGTGTGTGTGTGTGTGTGTGTGTGTGTGAGAGAGAGAGAGAGAGAGAGAGAGAGAGAGAGAGAGAGAGAGGTGTGCATGTATATATTTACTTGGTCCTTGAAATGTTTTTCATTTCTAAAACTTTTTTTAATTCTATTTATGGATCCAAGGGCTCTAAGCTTTTATGTTAGTCTATTTTCTGTTCTATTTCCCTCTCCCCATATTAAAAATAATGAATGTAAACCACAGAGGTGTTTGCCTAGCACATGTAGGCAAGTCAGCATGTTCTTCTTCCCTCTGACCTCATTAATTCTATAACTTTTAAGTCTTACCTAGTTCTGTGCTTTGATTGAAATCTTTTTTGTGCCTCTACTATCTTATACTGGCAAATGTTTTTCTGATTTTTTTTTTTTTTTTTAATGGCTAACCAGCCCAAGAATTGAATCTAGAAACTTAGGAGTAATGCTGAAGCCCTGTCACAAAATCTCCTTATGTGAAATTGCCACTTTTATCTTCATTGCCTTGTCTGGATACTTTGTATCTAGAACTTGGTAAAAAGCATTGTTTTATGTAGGTGTGCTGAATTCTCAGTGTTTGCTTAATTCTAATCTTAGGTTATTTTCTTAAAACGACTTTAAATCGCTTTCTCATGTTGTAGATTTTGCTTTATTCTAATATATCAGTTGTTCTTTGCTGTGTTGACAATTTACCCTCAGAGTGAGTAGTTTAAAACAAGTCCCATTTATTTGCTCGTGATTCTGTAAATTCATTTCACCTGGGCTCAGCAGAGTGCGTCCTCTCCTCTCTCACTTGGCATCACTGATGTGTCTGCGATTGACAGTTCACCTAGGCCTGGGTGGCTGGGGTGCCGTGCAGTCACATGCTGGCAGTTCAAGCCCCTTCTCCATGTGACCTTTTAGCCTGCAGTGTTCCACACTGTTTAGCACAGAATGGTGGCTGATACCCCAAGAGAATAAAAACCAAAGCAGTTTGTACAGTGTCACTTTCCTCTCATTCTCTTGTCACATAGTAAGTCACTAAGCCAGCCCAGATTCAGACAGTAGGGTCCCTAGGCCACTTCTTGCCAGGAGAGCTTCCATAAGGAACTGCACAAGTAGGGGCCTTTGGTTGTTGCTCTTCACCTATGACTGCTCCCTTGCTCACATGTTGCAGTCTATGTACGGAGCTATCCAGGAGGTATGTGCACTATAGCATATCTCTCAACCATTGACCATCATATCTGTGAAGAGTGTTTGTTTCAAAAATTCAATGACTGTATGAGAAAACAGAATAATTTGCACATGATCTGTAAGCCACAACTTAAGTTTAAAGAAGCAAGTAGACATGTGAATTATTGTATTGGTTGGTCTTTAAGCTAGTAATTTAGTTCTAAGAAGACAAAGGAGCTAATTTGTAAAAAAATATTTTATTAGTTTTATTTTATGTGTATGAGTTGTATTGCACCCATGCAATGTCCATGGAGGTCAGAAGAGGGAGTCAAATTCCCTAGAACTGGAGTTAGGGATGGTTGTTAGCCACCATGTGGGTGCTAGGAGTCAAACCCAGGTCCTCTGCAAGAGCAGTCAGTCCTCTTAACCGCTGAGCCACCTCTGCAGCCCCAAAAGGAACTACTTTTTGTACTATACCCACAATATGCCTGCCTGGCCCTGGACTTAGGACATAATGTTATTCATCACTTCAGTTTTATGAGAAAGACTTATTTTTTCCTCTCGGTTTCAGATGAGAAAGCTAAGACTCAACAGCTTCAAGGAACTTGCTTAAAGTTGCATGAAAGTAATGTAGCTCTAAGTTAAATGCACAACTTTTTAACTCCCCAAATCATCTATCCATCTTCTCAGTGTGAAGCAGATAAAATTGACAAAAATTTGTGTTACAGAATACATTATTATATTGATTTCTCTGCTTCATGTTACCAGCTTTTGTAGTATTGAGATCTGGCAAGTTTCCCTTGAGTGACTCATATATATAATGAAAGAAATGTTCTTCTGGATTTTTAATCTGCAATTGTAGTTTTAGCAAATGAGGTAGAAGACTTTTATTAAAAGTGCTCTGTGTCCTTTGTGTCATACAGCTCTGACTACATTTCTTTCCTATAACTGTAAGTTCTACTTACATTAAAGAAATACAGGTGAAGGGGCTGGAGAGATAGCTCATCAGTTAAGAACGCTGGCTGTTCTTGGAGAAGACCCAGATTCAAATCCTGGTACCCACATGGCAGCTAACAACTGTCTATACCTCTAGTTCCAGAGGATCCAGCAGCCTCTTCTGTCCTCAGGCATTGCACAACATGGATGCACTTACCTACATGCAGGCAATACATGCATACACATAAAATAATAAAATACTTTTTTAAAAAAGAAAGAAATACAGGTTAAAAAGCATAGGAAAGAAGTCTTTTTTCACCATCCGGAATTTTTTAACCTGTATTTTGTTTGCCCAAATTTAGGAAGCGCTATAGAAATGAAGGGAGTCCCAGCCCTCGGCAGTCTCCTAAGCGCAGGCGTGAGCATTCTCCTGACAGTGACACCTATAGTGGAGATGACAAAAGTAAGTGCCCTTGATCTCCTACCACTAAATGTTTCTTTATTGATGGAAGTATGTGATAGAAATGCCATTTTATCACAGTGCCATTCGTCATACTATTTGTAGTTAAAGCCATGTTTTTAGTGACAGTATTGCCATTTAAAAAGTTTTGAAATAAAAGTGAAGGTTTGTCCTACTATTGTGTGTGATGTTCTGTTTACTGGCCTAGTGAAGGTGTGGTTATTATATTTTTCCCATAGATGAAAAGCATAGGCTCTCAAGCCAGGTTGTGCGACCACAGGACTCTCGGTCTGTCAGCCCGTCACACCTTGCAGAAGACAGGCAGGGCAGGTGGAAAGAGGAAGATCGCAAATCAGAAAGAAAGGAGAGTTCAAGGCGCTATGAGGAGCAGGAACTCAAAGAGAAGCTTTCTGTTGATAGACAGAGAGAACAGGCAGAAATCGTGGAAAGCTCACGTGGTCGGACCCAAGACATGATCAGCCACCACCAGTCAGAAGATCGTGATGTATCTGACCGAGCCCATGATGAAAATAAGAAGAAAGCAAAATTTCAAAAGAAACCTATTAAGAAAAAAAAAGAGGATGATATTGGAATAGAGAGGGGCAATGCTGAGGCTTCTGAAGATGGTCAAGTCTTTTCACCAAAAAAAGGACAGAAGAAGAAAAATATTGACAAAAAGCGTAAAAGATCCAAAGGTGACTCCGATGTTTCTGAGGAAGAAGCAGCTCAGCAGAGCAAGAAGAAGAGAGGCCCCCGCACACCGCCTCTGACAACCAAGGAGGAATTGATTGAAATTTCTAATGATAAGGATGGCATGCTAGAGGATCCACTGAAGAAAGAAGAGACAGCCTTTAGCGACTGGTCCGATGAAGATGTGCCTGAGCGCACAGAGGGCCTGGAGCCCGAGCACACTGCCACCTCTGCCATGCCTGGGAGAACCCCTTCCCCTCTGTCCTCTCTTCTCCCTCCTCCGCCTCCTGTGGCTGCTGCCAGTACTGCAGCTGCTGCTCTTGTCTCTGCTGCTGTTGCTGCCACCACCTCTGCTGCCATCTCCAGCTCTGCCATGGCCTCCAATACCAGTGCTGCTTTTGCCAGTGAAGACTCACATAGAAAATGCCAGAGGACACGAGTGGAAAAGTTAGAAGTATCTCATGTGACTATAGAAGATACACCACATCGCAAGCTGGTGGATCAAAAGAGGAGCAGCAGCCTTGGGAGCAATCGCAGTAATCGGAGTCACACCTCTGGTCGCCTGCGCTCCCCATCCAATGATTCTGCCCATCGAAGTGGCGATGACCAGGGTAGTCGAAAGAGAGTGCTGCATAGTGGCTCTGGAGATAGAGAGAAAACAAAAAGCCTGGAGATCACAGGAGAGAGGAAATCTAGGATTGATCAGTTAAAGCGTGGAGAACCCAGTCGAAGTACTTCTTCAGGTAATAAGGTTAAACTTTGATCCAGCTAGTGTTTCCTATGGTAGTATGTTTGGTCCAAATTATAATTATAAAGCAGTGCCAAACTGGTTACTTCATATGATACTGAAATTTCATGTAATTTCAAAACAAAACAAAAGCATAGGCATCTCATTAAAGTCTCATCTGCTACCATTTTAATACCAACATTTTGAAGAAGCACTTTCAGTAGATTGTTAACCATGTCAGGATTTTAGTGAGAAGTCTTGTTGATAGGACTTGCATATTTTAACCTTCCTGCTATTCTGGTTGCAACCAGTGCTGCCTCTTTGACCACAGAAAATAAGATAGGGAAGAAATCAAAGAATGATCTCAGTTGTGCCTGGTTTTTTATTTATTTTTATTTTATGTGTCTGTATTGCCTGAATAGGTAGGTAGGTGCACACATGTCATGCATTTCCCATGGAGGTCAGAAGGGGGCGTTGGAGCCCCTGGAACTGGAGTTACAGATGGTCGTTAGTTGCCGTGGATGCTGGGAATTGAACCTGGGTCCTCTACAAGAGCAGTCAGCACTCTTAACCTCTGAGCCATCTCTCCAGGCCCATGGAGGTCAGAAGGGGGCATTGGAGCCCCTGGAACTGGAGTTACAGATGGTCGTTAGTTGCCGTGTGGATGCTGGGAATTGAACCCGGGTCCTCTACAAGAGCAGTCAGCACTCTTAACCTCTGAGCCATCTCTCCAGCCTCTGTGCATGGTTTTTTTTTATGTGCTTGTTTAAAGATAGACATAAAAAATAGACAGGGAAACTTTTGGAAACTATTTTAATTAGCACTTCAATTGAGAGGGCAAATTTTTCCTTAAAATGAGTTTGAATATATGAAATTGTATATAGAGAGCATGGACATATAAAATTTGCAAAGTAAATATTGAAAAATATAGAAAATAAATAGTTGTGCATTTTAAAGGACTCTAAAATGGACATTTTGTTTCTGTTCATGTTAACTTTATATATGGCATATTCATTTTAGATCGCCAGGATTCCAGAAGCCACAGCTCAAGAAGAAGCTCTCCTGAGTCAGATCGGCAAGTCCATTCACGATCTGGGTCGTTTGATAGTAGAGACAGGATTCAAGAACGAGATAGATACGAACATGACCGTGAACGGGAGAGAGACAGAAGAGAGACAAGGCAGAGAGAATGGGACCGAGAAGCTGATAAGGATTGGCCACGGACCAGAGAGAGAGAGAGATTGAGGGAACGAGAGAGAGAACGAGACAAGAGAAGAGACTTGGACAGAGAAAGAGAGAGACTGCTTGCTGACTCCACAGAAAGGGACAGAGAGCGAGATAAAATTTTTGAGACCTCTTCTCAAATTGAATCTGTGAAACGTAGTGAGGCAAAACTGGAGACTGAGCATGAAAGAGATGTAGACAGCAGTTCCCGGGACTCCTTGGCTGTGGATAAGGAGAGAGTAGATAGAGACTTGGGGCCTTTGCAGGGACTGGAAGATGTGATGAATAAGGCGGAGAGAACAGAGAGCCTGGAAGGTGAGCACCACCCTTTCCTGTGACACTGCTCCATTGCTTTTCCAGTTCCCTGGGAGACAAACATTGTCTTTTGAAAAGCAGGTGAATTGACTCCATTCTATATGTGAAGTAGATCCATAAGGAAGGCATTCATTTCAGTATCATCAAGGCAATTTTGGAACCAATAAGCTTAACAAAATAAAGAAGTAACAATTGAAGTAAAAAAGTAGGGGAGTAGGGCTGGAGACATGGCTCGGTAGTTGAGAGCACTGGCTGCTCTTGGAGAGGACTAGGGTTTAATTCCCAGCACCCACAGGCTGCTAACAACCCTCATAACTCCAGTTCCAGGGGATCTGATGCCCTCTTCTGACTCCACGGGCATTGCATGACATGGGTGCATCTAGTTACATTCAGGCAATATACCCATACACATAAAATAAAAATAAAAATTTTTAACATAAAGAAATCAGTTCCATTAAAATAAAAGGCTACATAGGTGCATTGTCAGCTGAGTATGATGGCTCACACCTAAAGTCCTGTCACTGGGGAGGCTGAGGCAGGAGAATCATGACTTCAAAGTCAGCAGTACGTAGATGCATCTACAACAAAAATTGAATTAAGGAGTCAGATAACTCATTAGTGATCCCTGTTTTCTAGGGCTGTTGAAAATAAACATAAGCTGTTTGATGGCACATTGCAGTCGTTCTCAGCCATGTGGCCCAGTCAGAGTCAGTCTGGAATCCATGGAACCTCAGTCCCCACTGCCTCTCCTCTCTACCTTTAACTCCCACTCTGCCAGAAAAACTGTCTCATTTTAGGGAGAAGGGACAGTGACTCCAGTCAGAAGAGAGCTATTATGTTGATTAGTTATATTCAGTTATACTAAAAGTTAAGTCTCTTTTAGAACCATGACTCATGATTTCATGTTATTTATACTCAAAATTGAGGTGAAAATGTAATGAGAAGAAAGCAAAGGTAGAAATTTTTTTGATAAGTTAAATAGTTGAAGATGCACTAACCAGTGGCACATTAGGCTAGCTAAGAGCTGTAAGCATTCACCTTTAAAGGCAGTGGATTTTACTGTAGCCCAAACACTATCTATGGCAAATCAAAAGTAATAAATATTATTGCTTATGTCCTAAGTGTCTCAAAAGTCTCATCCCAAGCCTTTCACCTTGTTTTACACATTCTTCCTTTTCCTTTTTATCCTCTTAAATCTTAATAAAATGTATTACTTGCCTTATAACACTTTCTCTCATCAGTGTACACACTGTTTAGATGCCTAAACCATGTCAGTACATCTGTTAGCACCCCAGCACTGTCTCATACTTTTCAATGTTTTTCTTCCCATTATACCGTACTTATGAATCATAGCTTTCACCCTTCATCATCAAGACTGTGCTCCTGCATTCTCTACATAGTATTCCTTGTTGCATTATAATTATAACCTTGCCTAGGTTAACAGGAGAATGACTCCCCTGAGAATTCTTCTGAAAACTACCTCCTCGTGGTGCTCCAGTTTTGCTGTCAGTATTTACATCACGTTCTGACGTAACCTCTCTACCTCAAGCCCACAGTTTTGTTTGTTTTTTTTTCATGTGATAACATTTGGCTTACATAGTAAAATTCCAGTCTTTCAAAAGGTGGATCATTACATCTCAGTTATCTGATTAACTGTTGTAGGATGCCATCTGTTTTTCCCAGTTAATTTAACGAAAATAATCTCTATTTCTGCTTTCATCACATTGCATTTTCACCTCAATTTTGACTGTAAGTTGCATCAGGTTATGAGCTGTGGTTTTAATGGAAGTACAGCCTTGGGATATAATCGAATATAATTGAGCTAATCGTTATAAAAGTTCTCTTATGACTGGAGTCACTGTCCCTCATCCTAAATGTATCATTTCTTTATTGTGACCACAGATAATGTAGCATAAAAATTTAGGAGTGAATCATCTGCTACACTGTGTAAATATTTTATCTATTCTTGTTGTTTTTTTATTTTGTTTTGTTTTGATGAGACAGGGTTTCCCTATAACCACAGGCTGGCCTGGAATTTACTATATAGTTGGCCTGACTCTGCTTCCACCTCTGAGTGCTGGGATTAAAGGGGTGCACCACCATGCCCAGCTTAAATATTTTATTCAAAGTAGGAAAATAAGTTGGATAAACTTGAAAGCTTAAACTCTATCTTGTTCACTTATTTCTAGAAATAGATTTGTATATGTTAAAATGAATTGGGGAAATTTTAAAAGTATTACAAAATTCTATAGAAAAAAATAAGCAATAAACAGTTGTTAGGGAGAGGAGACTCTTTAGTGAACAAGTTGTATAGAGGGCCCTTGTGATATAGCTTTTGTGAGTTGTTACTCATGCTGGCCTAGGCTTTACAGTGATACAGGTGTCTGAGAATCCCCCATGGTCCTGTGGGCCACTCAAATGAGTGTTGCACCAAGGCCAGCACTTGCAGCTCAGCATCCAGCAGCCCCACCCTCTGCACAGTCTGACATCATCAGTTTTCAGAGTGCCCAGAACCTGAGCTGCTTTAACAGTGCAGATGTGTAAATGGGTTTACCTAATCAAGAAGTTCAACTGAAAAAAATGGAAAATCGGCTCTGATGACCAAGTTACTTAGCAAAAAATGTAAATTGGTAGTGAAGATATTAAACATAAGTTCTATTTCCTTTGTTAATACAAGCTTCATTGTTCAGAGTAGCCATTGAAGAAAGTGTACTGACTATGCAAGTTCACTAAGGTGGTATCCAGTTTGGGGCCTAACAGCTGTTTGTGTGACCTCCTAAACCAGCTGCATGATGTTGTTATTGAGAATAACAGAATGCATAATTATAATAAGGTGATTCTTTTCTGAAAAAATAGAGAAATTATTAGAATGATTAGAAATATAACCTCTTACTCTGCTATAAAATCAAACCCATAAAAATATTAAGCATACTCTATGGTTTGGGGACTAAATCCACAACTAATTCAGAAGGAGATGAAAATTTAGCCTAGGATAGGTGAAAAAATAGTTGATAAAAATAACAAAATAGAATATATATTACTAATATCAACAAAAATATTTATTTTGGGCCAGAAAGAGGGCTTAGTGGTTAGGAGCACTGGCTGCTCTTGGAGAGAACCTGGGTTCAGTTCCCAGCATCTACATGCCGGTAAACAACTGTCGTGACTCCAGTTCCAAGGGATCCAACACCACCTTCTGGCCTCTGCAGTCCCTGCACAACACAGGTGCACTTCCATACATGCCAACAAAACACTCATACACGTAAAATAAAAATAAATTTTAAAATTTTTAAAAATATTTATTTTAAAAGTATATTATTACAGCATTCTTCTAAAGTTTTTTATTCATTAATTAAAAGAAAACATTGAGATGGGGACATGGGATTGCCAGGTAGTGGAGAATTAATGACAGTTGAACATTTGTATTTCACTGTTATCCATGTAATGAGCCAAATAATGTGGACTAATATTGAGTGAAATACGTTTTGAAATAGGTTTGCAAGCTTTTAAAAATTAGGTAAAGAACTTACAGTTTTTGAAGTTAGATTTTTCTGAATGCTAAAGTTGTATTATCAAAAATGAACACTCACGGGGCTAGAGAGATGGCTCAGCAGTTAAGAGCACTGACTGCTCTTGCAGAGGACCCAGGTTCGATTCCCAGCACCCACATGGAGGCTACGAACCATCCTTAACTCCAGTTCCAGGGGAATCTGAAGCCCTCTTCTGACCTCTGCGGCATTGCACGACACGGATGCACTCACATACAGGCAGGCAATACACTCATACACAAAATAAAAATAATAAAATAAATAAAAAAATAAAATAAACACTCACAGAAAGGCATGAAAATAGCAAGAGGACTTGTTGAGAAGCAGCCAGCGAGAGAGGGAGAGGACGAAGGGGGCAATGAGGTGAAAATGACTAAAATCGTTATGTAAATATATGAAATTGTTGCTGGGCGTGGTGGCGCATGCCTTTAATCCCAGCACTCAGGAGGCAGAGGCAGGTGGATCTCTGTGAGTTCAAGGCCAGCCTGGTCTACATAGTGAGTTCCAGGACAGCTGGGGCTACAGGGAGACCCCATCTCAAAAAGACCAAAAAAAAAAAAGTATGAAATTGTCAATAAAATTAACATAGCATACATAATTGTTAATACAGCAGTGCATCTTTTGTTTCTGATATTTTAGTTGTAATTTAACTAATTAAATTTTATTTTTCATTATTCTTTTGAAATGATCAAGTATAGAGTAAGGTAAGTTTTCTGATTTAAAAAAAAATAATACTTTTCACACTCTTTTAGTGTGCACACCAGCATCTACCTTTCAGTTTGACTTAGATATCCCTTTTAAAGCTTTTTTTTGACATGAACTTAATTTTTCTATTTAGCAGGAGATGATGAATCCAAGTTAGATGATGTGCATTCATTAGGATCTGGTGCTGGGGAAGGATATGAGCCAATCAGTGACGATGAACTAGATGAAATTCTGGCAGGTGATGCAGAAAAGAGAGAAGAGCAGCAGGATGAAGAGAGGATACCAGGTAATCAATTGCAGAGCTGTTTAAACATAAAAAGCATCTGATTTATGGTATGAAAAGAGTTTTTGCATCCTTTAAAAAGGCATTTTGAAGTTCGGTATGCTGTCACATGCCTGTAATCCCAGCACTTGGGAAGCAGAGGCAGATGGCTCACTGTGAGACTGAGGCCAGCCTGGTCTACATGGCAAGTTTCAGGCCACCTAGGGCTATAGGGAGACCCTGTTTCAAAAGACAAAAAAAAAAAAAAAAAAAAAAAAAAAACACTTTGAATCTTCCCATTTATGTTTTAATTTTTATGTAATTAAGGGAAGACCATTGGAAAGAAAATCATGTCATAGGCTATATGTCTGTTTATTTTTAAGTAGACGTTGCCTATGAAAGCACCTCATGGGAAAAGTAGAGCTATAAGATTTGTTTTCCAGAGTTTAATTTAATTTAATTTAAGTTTATTATATGACCTAAAACCTAACCAAATACTGATTGCTTGCCAGTGTCTGACATGGCGTATATATTATACAATGCTTTACAATCGTAATGGCCCAACCCAGCTTTTTGAACAACTTTTCAAAAATATATAATAATTGAACTTTTGTTTGAACAACACTGTATATAGCTTCTTTCTCAGATTTGTAAATCTGGTGATTGTGTTTGCCTACTGTGCATTGTGCATGGCGAATACTTGCTGTGACTATCCCGGAACAAAACCCCTGACACTCGCAGTGAACTGTCTATCTCAGTCACTGTTTGCTTTTTCTAGCTTTTTATTGATCTTACTTATTTTATTTTTTGAGACAGGGTTGCATATAGCCCAAACTGGTCTCAAACCTACTATGTAGCTGAGGATGTGAACTGAGCCCCCTGCCTCTAACCTCCCTAAGTACTAGAATTACAGGATTACAGGCAGGCGATACCAAGCTTGTTTGTTTTAGGGGATTTTGTTTTTGTTTTTATTTTTATCATAGTGAGGGCCTTTGCTTGGTCTGGATATATAAAATATGTTTATTTAATTTGCCCTCATATTTCACATTTTTTCCTAACATATGTAATTTGTCACGGTGTATTTAATGGTTGTTTGCTGTGTGCTAATAATATTCACTATATAATTATTTTACATTTATTTATTTATTGGCAAGGGTACATGCCAGTGTGTGGGTGGAAGTAAGAGGACAGCTTGTGGAAGTCAGTTCTTGCATTCCAATTGAACTCAGGTTGTCAGACCTGGCGGCAAAGTACATTTACCTACTGAGCCATCTCAGTGGCCCTACTGTATAATTTTCAAAGGAATTTCATTTTGGTGTGTTGAATTATTTGCTTAAAAAAAAATAAAAGTATGTATGCACACATATAAACTAAATGTGATCCTAGATTTAGCACTAAGTTTCCACAATGTCCAATATAATCTTACTGAAATAATGAAGATCTTTCATTAGGGAATTCTTGTATTACTTAAATGACTTATTTTGTACAGGTGGGTTAGCCTGCCTGTTTTCTTTTGGTGGGAAGATTTTTTTATTTGTAAGAGTTCTTAAATTCTAATAATAGTTTTTATGAGAAAGCTTTTATTTTAAAAATACAGCTTTTGGGGAAAAAAATGCTTATTTAATGGCATGCTTCCTGGATTTAGTGGTCATTGAGTAGTCGTGAGGGATTGGTTCCAGGATTCCTGCAGGTATCAAAATCTTCAACTGTTTTAAGTCCCCTATGTAATAAAATGCTTAGAATTTGAATGGAGCTAGCATGTACACACACACCCTCCAGCATACTTTAGAAACCATCTCTAAATTACTAATAATACCTATGACAACGTAAGCACTATATAGTTACCGACCTCTACTCTTTAGGATGACATGGAAAAAGTCTGTGCATGTTCAGGATACATAAAAATGTTCATACACTTTTATCTCCATTTGTTTAAATAGATATGGAATCTATAGATGTAGACACCCAACTGCATTTCTTTACAGATGAGACTTACTTTCCCTCCCTCTCTCTCTCTTTCTTACATTTATTTATTGTGTGTAGGTATATGGGTACTCAGGTACCATGGCACTAGTGGGGAGGGCAGAGAACAGCCTGTAGTTGGTTCTATCCTCTCATCATGTGGTTCCTGGGGATCAAACTCATGTTGATAGGCTTGGAGACAGGTGCTTCCACCTGCTGAACTTTTTTCCAGCCAAGACTGCTATTTGCTGATGTAAAATAAAACCCTGTTGTTTAACTTCACAGATCCATTAGACGTAATAGATGTGGATTGGTCTGGTCTGATGCCAAAGCATCCAAAAGAACCCCGAGAGCCTGGAGCTGCCCTCCTAAAATTTACCCCTGGAGCCGTTATGCTGAGAGTTGGGATTTCTAAAAAGTTGGCAGGTTCTGAACTGTTTTCTAAAGTCAAAGAGACGTGTCAGAGACTTTTAGAAAAACCCAAAGGTAATTTCATTTTGCCTTAACTAATATTGCTATAAATACTAAGGTGCTTTTGAAACGAATTTGTTTCTCATGTAGAACTTACGGTCTGAGAAACTTTTAAGGAATCATAATTATGATTTAATGTTTATGGTCAAAATTCCTTTCTTAAATTTATTTTGAAAAAAGTTTAATTCTGTAGAAAAGTTGTAAAATGAACTTTCTGTAGAAAAGTTACTTTTTTTTCCCCCCTCTTGCATGATGGACTACAATCTTGAACTGTGAGCCAAAAGTACAAAAATAAACCCTTCCTTTCTTAAGTTGCTTTGTGTGTTATCTTGTCACAGCAATGAGGAAAGTAACACGGTGACAATGTTGTGTCAGTGTCACATAATTGGACACTTAAAGTCGAAGAACAGACCACGAAATGTAAAGCTAATACCAACTATAACAACAAAATGGTCATTATGCAAATAAATGTGATACTGTCACCCTCAGATTAGCAAAATATAATGAATTATATTAATAATAAAAGAAAAGATTTTAGCACTCTATTTTTTAAAAAGTTTTTTTGTTTTTTTTTTTTTTTTGGTCTTTTTGAGACAGGGTCTCCCTGTGGCCCCAGCTGTCTTGGAACTCACTGTAGACCAGGCTGGCCTTGAACTCACAGAGATCCACCTGCCTCTGCCTCCCAAGTGCTGGGATTAAAGGCGTGTGCCACCATGCCTGGCAAAAAGTTACTTTTTTTAAAAAAATATTTTTATTGAGTTTTTATGCATTTTGTATACTAGATCTTAATCAAATTTAGACCCTCCTATCCCATCCATGCCCCTCCATACCCCACAACCACCACTGGATTTTCATGCATTTTGTCATTTATGTTAAGTTCTGTCCTCAAATTACTTTGGAGGGCTGAGAATATATCAGTGGTAGAGCATGTGCACAAGGTACTAGACTTGATTGCAGCACCAAAAACTAAAGAAAAAAAAAATTGCTTCTTACAAGGTAAGCTCATATGTCAAAATGTACAATGTTTGTCCAGGGCTAAATAAAGCAGAACTGTGAAATTGATATTCTGAGTTTCCAAGCAAACTGGGTGTCTTGACAACCTTTTCGCCCTACAAGCAGAGGATTGTACCCAAATGCAAGTGTCTAGGGTAACCTTTAAGACAATGGGTTAGCTTGGTGTGTAGGGATGCCAGCAGGCACCACACTTGCTAGCTGTTATCTAATTTTTCTGTGTTCATGTCATACTTAGGAAAGGAAAGAGTTTACTTCAGCTTATACTTCCATGTCAGAGTACATCATTGAGGGAAGTCAGGTCAAGAACTGAAGCAGAAACCACGGAGGAACACTGCTTACTGGCTTGTTCACTGGCTCATTCTCAGCTAGCTTTTTTATACAGCTCAGGCCCACCTGCCTAGGAATGGCGCGGCCCCAATGGGCTAGGCCCTCCACATCAATCATCGATCAAGACAGTCTCTCACAGACATGACCGTAGGTCAGTCTAATATAGGCAGTTCTTCAGTTGAGGGTCTCTCTTCTCAGGTAACTCCAAGTTGTGTCATGTTGACAGTAAGAACTAACTAGGATGGTCTGAAAGTATTTTATCATGTTAATTTTTTACCTTATTGCAACAAATTTGAACTGATCCAGATCCTTTCCATTTGTGAATCTAGTGTTTTTGTTTTGTTTTGCAGCTTACTAATACTTTTGTTAATAGAGACTGA